ACGCGAGGGTGTCAAAAACTCTTGATGAAATTATCGTGGTGAACACTTAATAACTAGTGGTGCTATAAGCACAGTAAACAATCTGCCCCCAATAAAAAAATGACTGTGCTTTCCCTTCACTTCTGTATCGTCAATCGCGCTGAGGCCGTCACAGATAATACATAGTTCAATGGCGGGTTGTATATATATATATATATATATATATAACTTGTTAATGAAGATAAAAAGAAGATATTCTTCATTAACTTTTTGTTTTTTAAAATAAGTGTTTCAGACAAACGTTTAACGTATAATTATTACCCACAACAATTTTTCTTAAAGAAAATTAGTTCCTTTTTTTCTAGGGGTTCCTCTTGAAATTCAATATTTTTGAAAAGAAGTGAAAATACGAAGATTTTGTTTGAAAGAGAAGTAAAACACTTTTTTTTCAGATTTTTACTTTGTATTTTGTTACCTTAGCAGCATTTCGAAACTCTGATGTATTTGGGAGTAATTTACGCTTCGTAATAACCAACAGAAAAATTCGCTATAGTTGCTTTGTATTATGTCTTTTTCACAAACATTTTGCAGTAGCGTTTGTCAAATATTTCATTTTTACTACGCGTCTCAGTGAAATCATGCATTTAAGCTAACATTTAGAGGGCGATTTCGCCGCGCTAAGACGTTTATCTACAGAAAAAAACGTGAGGCTTAGTTCTTCACATCATATCCAACATTCAGTAAAATCGAAAAAGAACAGCCCGTTTTACCAACAGTTATGTTTCAACCAATTTCTACAATGTGAGAAAGGAAATAATCGTCCACAATAAAGTAAAATAATTGTATTAATTATTGCATTCCCAAAGTCAACTTTCCGGAAAACACTTTTCCCATCTTTAGTGGGTCTCTAGCAAGGAAGAGAAAATTGAAAAACTTACATAAAAGGAGCAAAAAGAATTACAATGAAATTATGTGAAAAACTAATAATATAAAATAAATAATAAATAAAAATAAAAATACTTTTAAAAATAATTGTAAGTAATTAATAACAGGACAATATTTAGAGAAATTTATGTTTCAACTTTCATTTCCAAAGTGTTAATGCAAACAAATTATTTAATAGTGTCAAATATTTTTGTAATCGTTTATTAATTCATTTAATTATTAATTCTCAATATGAAGTGGACATATTTACCCGAAACTCTTAGAGTTCTTTAGAAAATATGTAACTTTTATTTGCCACAAATGGTATTAAAAAACACTCAATAAATAGAATAAACTGTACTTTTCTTGTCAACAGAACATTGCTATGCCCATCCCCGACACGTCACATGTGATTCCGACGTAGGAAACAACACAACACACCTTGACGTGAGCACCCAAACAGAAAACACGTCTTGCGTCGTTTCTTGATGTTGACTGCGTCTATTTCGAACAGTGCCGCACTATCAACCTACTTCTTCCGATCTCCCCCTCCCCCACCCCCACCCCCTCCCTGCAATTTTCAACAAACACCCGCTTTGTATTTCATTTAGTTTTCAATGTTCTAATTTACAATACGTTTCAAACTCACAGGCAAATCGGACAGTACTCTAGTTTGGCCAAGATTATTTCCAATAGGCTTAAAAACCACTAGAAAAAAGCATGCCCAAACCTTTCGGGTGCAATGCCAATCGGTTATATACAATTCTTCTGCTTCTGCCGAAAATCGGCTACAAGAAAACTTGCCATTTTCCAAGTAGTTGAGTGAGATGAATCAAAACTCATTACTCACGATAACAAGTAATCAAAAACAAATTTCCCCGAGAGAAACACTAGAACGGGGTTAAACCTTTGGGTTACCCCTTTACAACCTGGACGGAGAAGCTAAACTGTGTGTTACAAATCGACAAAATCGTTAGAATGCATGTCATTAACCATTATGATTCCCACTGACCATATATTCCCGGCCGAAATGAACTTATTTAATCCGTCTTGGACAATACAGGTAGGTCATTCCCCAAGGTGTTGAAAACATGAGGCAGATATTCTCGTGAACTTTCTATGGTATACACACGTGCAGTTTCAGCATAGCTAAAACTCATTGACACGCGGTCGTCTGTGTAAATGTTTCCAGTCATCTATCTACGAAAAACATTCTAGTATTTTTGTATTTCTGCCAGAAGTCAAGGAATATTCTTTTGACTCCCCCGTAAGCCATTTGTTTGCCCTCTTTGATCCGTACATTACATTGTTTTTGTTTTGCCTGAAAGACATCATTTAATACGTTTGCGTTGTAACCAGAAAGTGATTTAAATTATTTGTAATGAAAATTGAACTAAAAGAAAAACACAGAAGCGAAAACAATAACCGATGATGAACATTGCAAAACAGTGACGAACAGGAACAACAGTCGCATCTCTGAAACGTATACTGAAAACCGTCTCAGGACAAACGAAGAGCAAAGATAGGCGCTTAAGTAACGTTTTGGCCGAGATCATTGAGAGAAGCACACTAGATCATTCGAAGTGACATTATTTTTTGCTGCCAAAGAAAATACAACAATCCAAAATCGTAGCAATACCAATTACGTCCAAAAAACTAGAACAACTGAAAATATTTACAGTGATCAACAACAATTCTCACTCTGATTGAAGAAGAAAATCGTACCGGGATTGCGTAAAAATATCGATAATGCAAAACAATGCTTCGTACTGAAATAACGAAGTCAAGAGAAACAGTTTTGCACTAAGAACAGATTATCTCCAAAGTACCCAAAAGCCAGGTTCAAAAGTACATAACAATTATCAGTGTCGAAAAATCCATGTCAAGAGCAATTAGAATGTGTTCACAACTTATCATAAGGAATAGCACCGGTAGTGCGAGCAAGTGCAGGCACTAAACAATATCAGATATCCACGGCGCTGCCTGCCCACCTGAGTGACGCTGGCCCTCTCATACGCTCTGCTCGTATTCCGATTGCCTAGGGCAGTAGACTCTCTTACGGCGCGCTGCATCACGTTAACTTCTCCGAGTGCTCCTCGTTGATTGTTATTAGGTTTGGAATGTGTCAAACTGTTTTTTGTACGTTTGTCTCGTACGTGTAATCAAGTGTACCCCCGGAGTGGGACAATATTCCTCCCGCAGAATGTGAGATGCGGAATTCCGACCAATGCCACCATGCGCGGTTTCCCTCTTCAGCTATCTCCCCCTGAGTGACAAGTACCCCAGCTCGAGACAGCTCAAAACTCCCGAATTGGTCCACAAACATGTGTGGAAAGTGTAGTACCTCTAGTGTAAGTGATGTTTATTGGTTAAGGGCGAGGGGAGGGAGTGTGGATGAAAAAGAAGATCCACGGAGACGGTGTCCCAATTTGTTTGGGTGACTGAGCTAAAGTCATTCTCCTTGGTATTGTCGAAGGAAAAGCGGAAAACTTCCGTTCAACTCAGATCAGTCCTACGAATTTTCCTCTAGACAAGACGGCGCTTGTCATGTACTGGAGCGTGTTTGTGCTCGCGCCACCCTGCGGCTGCAATAACTCTCTCCGTTATCACCAACCTCGCACCTTCGAGGTTCCAAGTTTTTCCTGACCCGGGATTTTCATTTCCGAGAACCCCAAGCGAAGTTCCACCCCGCTAACCAC